TGGGGGGGGGCGGGTTCTGGGTCAGGTGCAGGTGACTGCCAGGACTTGGGGGGGCTAAGGGGCTCTAGGAAGAGCCAGCAAGGAGGGTGGGTGGCAGGCCAGGGGTGTGTGGGTGTAGGCTCAAGGAGTTGGGAATTGTCTGCGGGCACTTTCAGGCCAGCATGGGAGAACCCAGATGGCATCCCTGCACCCCGCTGGGGGTAGGGATGGGCAGCAGGCAGGGTCTCTTACCTGCCTGCCTAGCAGTGTTGAAGAGCTGAGGCAGCCATGCCCTGCCACAAGCTGGGGCAGCCTACCCTGCCACCTGCTGCTTGCCACTTGCTTCTGTGAGGAGGTGGTGGTGGCCACAGTGCAGGGCACTGCCACTGTAGCACTGGGAGAACACTCTGTCCCGTGCCAGTGTCTGGCGCAGGTGCTGGGCTGCTGCTGCCATCCCGAATCGCCTGCAAGAAGTCAGAGTGCTTCATGCCCAGCGCCTGCAGCTTCTGTCTGCTGCCACTGCCCCCAACCCCCAGCAGTGGTGGTGCAGCTGAAGAAAGCAGCAGAAAGATGGCAGGCAGTGTGTGACACTTCTTGGCCCCTAGCATTTCTCTGGGTTTGGGAGTGGACAGAGTGCAAAGCACCTATCTGTGGCCTGTACCTGCCCCCAGCCCTCAGTTCATGCTGGAGCCAGGGAGGCTGCCCTGCTGGGCTGGGATGCTGTGTGCCATGCTGTGTGCCAAGGACATGGCACCCCCTTCCTCACTAGCTCCCAGAGTGCAGTGCACACTGCCTCCTGTCTTGAGTCTCCAAGGGAAGGAGGCATCTTCCCATACTACTTTATTAATTTATTTTATTTTATTTTATTTTTTTCAGAGCTAGAAAGTTCCACATCCCTCCTTGCCCCCTTGGTGCCTGGCACCCAAGCCTCAGAGCCGTGGAATTTCCTGAGGTAGGCGAGCCCTGGAAGGCCTGCCTGTGGGTCCTGCCCAGGGTTGTGTGGAGGGATGTGATGGCAGCCATGTGCTGCAGGCACAGACACAGCACAGAGCTGGACACAGACACGGCCCCCCTCAGCCAGGTGGAAACAATTCTTCCTCTGAGCTTCCCCTTCATCCACTGTGCGGCACATTCCTGGAGTAGAGGTTTACCATTCACTCGCTTGGCTAGGGCGCTCCTAAGGGATTTTAGGACCTTCTTTTTCTGTTGTTGTTTGTTGTTGTTGTTGTTGGCAGGTTTTTGCCCTATTTTGGGGAGACTGTCCTAGGCACAGGCTTTTTAACTTTCTTTATCCCAAGTGGGGCTGGACTACAGAACCTAAGCCTTAGAGTTTAAAAGTGCTTTAAGGTGTACTTTGTGTTTCTTTCCCTTTTGTCCTATTATAAACCTGAATTTTTCTGGTACATTACTTGCAAGGGAGAAGTTTGTTCATTCAGGGCACCCCAGTTTAAATCTAGCTGTCCCATATTTCTTGGCAGGGGTTTGTGCCAAAGCTAAACTTATCTGAGACCCTCCAAAACTTGAACACAGCCCTTAATTGCTGCCAATAGGCGCAGAGAGCAGAACAGCAGGGGTTAGCACTGCTCAGAGCTACAAAGTAGCAAGGGGGGGCAGCTGCAGCCAGACTTGCATCCTGTTGCAAGTGGGGGAGCTGCTACCAGGAGGGAGTAAGTGAGGGGTAGGCAGGGGCTGTGGGTTTAGAGTAAGGGCACTGGCAGGGATGGGGAGCTGTGGCTTGGGAGTGAGGGGCATGTCAGGCTGCTCAGCGCCATGTCAGCTGCAGTTGGACCCACGTCCTGATGCGACGGGGGGGAGGGAGTGTGTTATGGGGTAACCAGGGGCCGTGCTTGGGAGTGAGGGGCAATGGCATATCACGCCTGCTTAGGACCACATAGCAGTGAGGAGGGGCAACCACAGCTGGACCCCCATCACATTGGGGAGTGAGGGGGGCAGCAGGAGCTCTGATTTTTCCATGATGGAAAAAACCAAATGCCAAAATATGTATGTATTTAGAATGTTTTTTATTATAATGATTGAGGCACTGGTAGGCTTCCAAATTGCTTTAAACCTGTAAATATATCAATAAAGCATTGTGTTCAACTGATACGTATATATATAGTGGCCTTTCATTTTAATTGCAGATTTGGGGATTTTTAATTAGAGAACTTGTGATTTATTTTATCAGCAAATCTGTGATTTTTATCTGTTTTAAAAAAAAAAAAAAAGCAAGGATCCCTGGATATCATAGTGGTTTAGATATTTTTTTAAGCTTATGCAGCTTCACCTAAGAAAAATGTGAATGGAAAATAAGAGGGTTTGTTTCTTTGGCCAAGACTCAATAACAAATTTACTTTTAACATTTTAGGTCTGTCTCCTCGAGATCTTGTCCTTCAGTTTAGACATAAGGTATGTTTTTCATCTGTTTGGTAAAGCTGAGATGCTTTGCTTGTGTTTGTTGCACAGAGGGAAAGCATGGGTTGCATCAAGAACAGCTTATAGCCATGCACATGCACACATTCACTTATGTTAAGCGCCAGCCTCTCTTGTGATGGTGGTGTTAGAGGTAGTTACAGCCCCCAGATTTTTTTCTGTGGCCCCAGTTATAGGTTGGCACAGCTTGAAGCTGATATCCATCTGATGTACTACATACAGAGATGCCACCCTGCCACACGCCCCTTTGTCTCCAGAGACTCCTACAATGCCTGGGATTTTGGGGAGACGGGGGAATCTGCTCCACTACCTCCTTGCTTGCCTTCCTCCATTGTTCTCCCTTTCTGCTGGCACTAGGAGTATTCCTTGTAGGGACATTATAGCTAGTCTTCACTCCTAGTGTTACCTGTGTGGTGCTAAAGGAGTAAGGTAAGACTGAGAATCTGGCTCAAAAAAGGCTGTATCTTATTGAATTTTTGTATGCCTCAGTGGCACTTTGTAGCTGTGTAATGTAAGTCTTTGGTACTTACCCACAGTTGGATTCTGTTTTGTACCTGTGGAGGAGGTGGATTACTCTGTGCATGTACCTGCCAGAAGTAAAACTGAGGAGGAGGGTGGCTGTGCCATCTTTTAAACCAGTAGGCTAGAGGTTAAGGCTTTCTTCCCCCACTTTTATATGAATAAAGGTGAGAATAGAATCTGGCCTTAAACATTTTGACTTGTGTGAACACCCATCCTATGTGGTGATTAGGATCCTGGTGTTCTACCAAGTTAGCTAATGTATCTCTATGAAAAACTTGTTCTCTACATAAGAAATGTTGTATGTGACTTGTATTCTATCATCCCATAATAATAATTTTAATATACATTTTTCATTTATAAATAAGCTTCACTGTGGGATGTGTGAAGTTCTGACTTCTTTTTATGCATGCTGTCATCTCTCCAATGCTGTTTTTTAATGGCTAGTCAATTGAAATAAATTGAATGTCAGAATATTTTAGTATCACAAGTTCTCATTGGCCAGATGTTCTTGGTTGATTTGAAATGGTCAGTGGAAACATTTTTATTGAAATGTAAATGTGTGTATATTTTTGGTAAAAGTGACCACGGGCCACTAATCCAGGTATGGTTTGTTTGTTTTTTTTCTCCTTATTTTTTCAGGTCTTAATCCTTTTTAAACTGATTCTTCTAGAAAAAAAGGTAAAGTTTCTGGCCAGGCAGAGGCTGAAATAGAAATGTAGTTGTTGGATGTGCTTATGAGAAGCTACAAAGAGTAGGTTAATAAAAGATACATAAGCTTTCATGAGCAAGAGCTCACTTAAACAGATGTTATTACAAGGTGCTGTATCTGATTTAAGGTTGTAGAAAAATGATGCATTTGAGCTGCAGTATAAAATTAAAACTGATGTGGCAAGCTTAATTTTAGCATATTCAACTTTAGTTCTTAGCCGTGGAATTTTAACATGCTCACAGTGAACTTTTTGTTTGGTTTGTTTTGTTCTGGTACATATACATAATTGTAGCTTTAAAAGGAATAGCATATGAGAATTTGTGTACATGTATGATTTTTTTAGGTGCTCCAGACCTCAGCCCTTGCAATAAAATTAAGAAGCTAGAAATCCTGTATCTGTGTAGTGCCCCAGTGACTTCCTTTGGGATCTGCAAGGGCAGAAGTGTCTGCATTCATGGCTCCAGCTGCACAATCAGGATCTTATCTTAGCATTTCATTGTGTATTTGAATTCAATTCCAAAAAACACAAAAGGAATTTCTGATGGTAAACCCAAAAAGAATGCCACTGCTGTGCATTTACTTCAGTTCCTGTGATCTCCGTGTAACAGGGAGAAGGCTTCTGTTTCAATATTCACCTCCACTTATGTCTTTTGAACAGTTTCACACACATTTTGAATGGTCTCAGTGAATAAGTTAAACTATAGATTTTTTTTTTTATTTGTTTGTTTAGATTGATAACATTTTTTGTTCTGGAACATGATTTCCCCATTTTAAAAACTGATGGTAGCCTTTCATGATGACCATTTAACATTCCACTACCTACTTAATACTGAGCTATGATTCCATTCGCAAGCCGTACAAACCATGAGAGACGACTGCACAGGAAGCATGCTCAAGTGATTCAGACCAGAGTCTGGTTTGAATAAATCTGAGTTTCTTCTAAGCCCACAAATAGGAAATGAACCTTGGCGGCTGCAACAGGGAAAATGCTTGGTTTTCCTGCACTGCCCACTTCCCAACATATGTTAAGGTTCCAGAATAGTTGTGGGAAGTGTGTACAGTCAAAGACTTTAAGCATACTAAGCCAGCGTCCACCAATAACACCATCAGTTCTTGATTAGAAAGATGTGTGTATGCTGTGGACCATCTCCACTAATCCAAACAGCTGGGTTGGTGCCTGTTTCATAGGCAGAAAGAAATGCTTCCATCTTCCAACCGATGCTGGATTGAAATGCCATCTCCAGATGGTGATGGCATCTCATCTCCAGACTATTACTATAGTTCCGATTATCTACTGCCAGAGCCACTCTCTTTGCTGACTTTTAATATTGCATTGCTGTTATGGAGTGGGGGAGAAGAGAATTGGGAAGGAAAGGGAAAAGCTAACTTTTGTTTGCCCATGTAGGAAGAAGGCCTGGAGATTATAAACCTTACCTGACTGTCTCACCAAGCAGTCTTGGAGTCAGCTAGAAACAATGTGACATCAAGCAACATAAGACTGAAACAAATTTCCTGGGTCTTTTGAGTCCAGTCTTCTGTTACTGCAAATAATTTCTTTCACAGACCTTTTAAAGTTTTATTTTAAAATCAAGTCTGAGGGGGGGGTTGCCCTCACTACGTTGATTCCCTCCCCCGCCCCTCCCCCAGTAGCCTTACGGCCTTTCTTTTACTTTCCAGCCTAAATAAATTTGTGGCTGGTTTTGAACTCTTGTGCCAGTATTCTCTTACCTTAAATATTTCCTTTCCTTCCCCAGTATTTCTCTCTGTTTATTTGTAGATAGCAGTCTTCTTTTGTTTTGCTAGACTTACAAAATAAAGTTGCTCTGTTTCCTCTCATATGATACAATTTTTATTCTCCTTCTCATAGCGCTTCTTTGCACCTGTTCCAGTTTGAATTAATCTTTCTTGATTCTGGGTGACCAGAACAGTATATAGTATTTTGCAGGAGATCTCATCAGTGCCTTGTACAATGGCATGAAGTCTTCCCTATCCCTGCTAGAAGCACCTCTTCTGAAACATTATAACCATATCACATTGGTAGTGCTTAACTAGTACATCTAGAGCCTTTTCTTCACTAATCAGTTTCAACTGATGGGCTTCCAGATTTCAGCAATCACTTTGGTCCCCAAGTGCCTGACTCGGCATTTTGTACTATTACATTTCATTATTATTTCTATTACTCTGTCCTCAAGGCCATCTTGCATCAATCTAGATGATATACCAGTATATCTCCTTTAAATTGATGATGCCTTCTAGCACTGAGTCATCAACATAATCTTACTTTTTGTGCCAAGGTCACTTATGAAAATATAAAACAAGATCAATCCAAAGACTTATCTTTGAGGAACTCTTATCTTTCGTTTGTACACTATTGATTGCAATCCCCCGGTAGGCATTTCTTTATCCACCTTACAGTTCCTCTCTCAATTCCTGTCTCTTCCAGTTTAACTAATAATTTCCCATGTAGCACAATATCAGACACTTTACTGAAGCCCAGATAGGATCATGGGGAAGTGGGTCTGGAAGAGGCTGTATGAGGTGTTATAGCCAGCCAAGCCCTCTACTCAAGATGGGATCATCCCTGACTAAACCGTCCCAGCTCAAGCATCTGTTTAACCTCTTGAAAATTTCCAGGGGTAGAGATTCCTCAGCTTCTCTAGGTTGCCTGTTCCAGTTCTTGCCCACTCTCATAGTCAAAAAGTTCTTCTAAATCTCCAACCTAAATGTCCTCTGCTGCAGCTTGAGGTATTGTTCCTAGTCCTGTTCTCTATTGCCACAGAGAAAAGTTCATATCCACCCTCTTTTTAATCTCCCTTCAGGTATTTGAAGACTGTTATCAAATAGATAGGATCTACCACATGGATCCACCACATTTCCTTTGTCTAGAACAAGGGTGGCCAACCTGCAGCACAAGTGGCACAGGCAGCCTTTGTGTGTGGCAAGCAACAGACTGGGGGGAGGACAGGCAACAGAGAGGCAGATACGGCAGGGAGCAGAAAGCAGGGCAGCAG